CCGCCATATTGGATTGTGTTTACAAAATGCCGGTTATGAGACGCCTATACTCGATCAGGTATATTTCAAACTCAGCTGCTATACATGCATCCCTGAATTCCTCATACATTTTCGAAACAATGGATAAATGGTCTTTGTCACCAATGCAAATTATCTAGATGAAATCATGCGAAATAAATTAGGTATGGAAACGAAAACTGTGCTCGGAAAATTGTACTTGCTGAAATGTAAACAAAGCAAAATTCAGATTTTACACTGTGTAGCATTAAAGAGGTACTTTCGTCTAATTGTTTCATACACTGGCTCGATCACGCGTTTGAGAATATTCATGGGAAGAGTATCGTTGCACTAATTATGGAATTACACATATATACATTACAATGATGTGGTAAATTCAACAGAAGCCGTAAAAGTTCCGTCCTGTGTGGCGACATGACTGACGCTAAATCACGCACAACGATGACGGTAGTTATCTGCATTTCTGACTAATTCTCTTTGTTACATTGGAAAACATGGTAAACAAATAACAGTACGCAGATTGTCAGAATGTTTCTGATTACTTACGTGACACATTTATGTGTATACGATCCCTCAATCAACGAAAATCTCCTCTGGAAATCCCGCGTACTGTTCTCAGTGAACACGCCATTTTGTAAAAGTCGGTCACCGGTAGTGATGTCATATGGAAGTAAACATTGTTGTACATATTTGGTCATTTCTTTGAGGTGTAAACTTTCAACTTGGCACCCAGCGTGTTCTTGGTTTTTGTCTAGTATGCATTTTCATAATCACCTTGATAATCCACAGATAGGACGGAAACCTTTTTGTGTAGGGTCACATTATTTATGAGTAGTAAGCAGCACATAGGATGACGTCACTTATGACAGTGGTATTATGTATTAATGCGCTACTGCAATCATGAGACAAAATTCATCGGTTCGATGCTAAAAAGGTGCAATTTTAGGGTGTGTAAGAAACAGATTACTGCACTCGTGTCTGTCAGATACCATTGATCTTACAACTCGTTGTTACAAAGCGTATCTAACTCGCTTTCGCTCGTTAGATACGTTTTGAAACAACTCGTTGTAAGATCAATGGTATCTGACAGACACTCGTGTAGTAATCTCTACGTAGATATCGCTGCAATGAAATTACATCACAATGCTTTGCAGACCATTGTGACGCCACTGGTTACCATGACGTCACAATCAAATGACATCACTAATGGCTCTGCTACTGAAGCTGTTTGCAGTACTTTTTACACTGAAGACACTGCTAATTACTGCCTACAAACTGAAAAGGTTGAAAGAATGATGTTGGATGATAAATAAAATCTCACCCTCGTGTCTTTTGATATCAAACATATCAATACTCGTTGATAAAAGTGGCAAAAATCCTCCGCAAGCCTCGGTATTTTTCCACTTTTATCAACGAGTGTTGATATATTTGATATCAAAAGACACGAGGTTGAGATTCTCTATATGTACTTACATCTGAGGTACCACTTAGGTATCAGGTTTTCGTACCTTAACATGTGCACATGTACATCTTTTTTTGTGCACGAAAAACACCTTCCTGCACCAAAACTTGAGTTGATAACCTTAATGTTTGGTTTCACAGTTCAAGCATCGTCTTACAACACGCCAATTTGATTATTCGATTACACTGAATTATACTGGAGAACCGTTTTTGAGAAACTTGTGTCTTGTGTCTCATCGATCCTTCTCATAGCGTCCGTATATGCACGTTAAGTGCGGAATTAATCTAAATTACACCTGTACTCGGCTTGCTTAATTGCCCCTTGTGTAATTGCAATCAAGTAGGTGTTGCGTAATCAATCAACCATTTGCCCTTAATTAGCTGTCCTGAGCTTTTAGCTGTAGTTAATACCATACCGTTTCATTGATAACTTATGCATTTGGTGAGGCTAAGTAACAAAACCTATTTATTTTCTTTTGAACTTCCGTTAACATGTTTGTCCTAAAATGCTTCCAGTATACTTTTGTAAGATATGATAGTGTCGTGTCCCTCACAAAAAAGGAAATAAAGTTATAACATATCGCCATATTTTTATTTAAAATACTTTTCCATAAAACGTACTTTCACTAGCCACTGACAAAGATTAGCAGTATTAGAATAAGAAACTAAATTAAATCCAGTATGACGTGATGATGTGTAAGCATACAGAAAACTAAGAGAGCCCAACTTACCTCAGTTTCTGTACTGTACTTGCGCTTGCCTCCTTTTGCATCCTGCGTATCATTCAACCTGTCGGATCGACTTGTCCCGGGTGGTTAATAATCTTAAACATCACGACAGTGCTTACTTACTTACTTTGGAGATTTAACGTGCGCTTTCCGACTGATGCGTATTTCACACATGGGCCCGGTCAGGCCATTTAATGTGTTTCCGAAAGGTGCGAAAGTGGTGTGTGCAACCCAAGGGGGGGGCTTTAGGGGTTGCTTATATACTTTCTTAGTTTCACATTTGAAGATACATCTATGTGTTAAAAGTTGATTTTGACCGCCCAGGCCAAGTCGGACCCAACACAAGCCAAACACTTCTGATCGAGACTATGTTGAGAATGTAGAGGGAAAAGGGCTTCACTTTGAGCTCCTTGTTTTCTTTAAGTACAGCCATCTGTGACATTATATAGTGGTATTTAGGTAGATATAGTACTAATCTATAGATGTGAATCCATTTGATGATACATCTGTGAGGTTTAAATTGATTTTGACAGCCCGGGCCAAGACGGACCGAACACTTCTGATATAGATTTTTTAAAGAAAATACAGTAACAATGCTTCACTTTGAGCACCTTGTATTCTTTAAATACGATGTACCGTGACATTATAAAGTGGTGTATAGGTAGATATAACACTCATCTATAGATGTAAACACATTTGAAGATACATCTGTGTGTTTAAAGTTGATTTTGACCGTCCGGGCCAAGTCAGACCCAACACAAGCCAAACACTTCTGATAGAGACTATGTTGAGAATGTAGAGGGAAAAGGGCTTCACTTTGAGCACCTTTTTTTTATAAATACTGCAATCAGTGACATTATAAAGTGGTGTATAGGTAGATATAATACTAATCTATAGATGTGAATCCATTTGATGATACATCTGTGAGGTTTAAGTTGATTTTAACAGCCCTGGCCAGGTCGGACCGAACACTTCTGACATAGATTTTCTTCAGAAAATACAGTAAAAAAGCTTCACTTTGAGCACCTTGTTTTCTTTAAATACGATGTACCGTGACATTATAAAGTGGCATATAGGTAGACATAACACGAATCTATAGATGTAAACACATTTGAAGATACATCTATGTGTTTAAAGTAGATTTTGACCGCCCGGGCAAAGTCGGACCCAACACAAGCCAAACACTTTTTATAGAGACTATGTTGAGAATATAGAGGGGAAAAGGGCTTCACTTTGAGCACCTTGTCTTCTTCAATGCAGTGAACTGAGACACTATAAAGTGGTATATAGGTGGAAATAATGCTAGTCTATAGATTTAAAGACATTTGAAGATACATTTGTGTGTTTAAAGTGCATTTTGACCGCCCGGCACAAGTCGGACCCAACACAAGCCAAACACTTCTCATGGAGACTATGTTGAGAAAGTAAAGGGAAAAGGGCTTCACTTTGAGCCCCTTGTTTTCTTTAAGTACAGCGTTCTGAGACACTATAAAGTGGTATTTATGTAGATATTATACTAGTTTATAGATGTGAATCCATTTGATGAAACATCTGTGAGGTTTAAGTTCACTTTGACAGCCCGGGCCAAGTCGGACCGAACACTTCTGACATAGATTTTCTTAAGAAAATACAGTAAAAAAGCTTCACTTTGAGCACCTTATTTCTTTAAATACGATGTACCGTGACACTATAAAGTGGTATATAAGTAGATATAACACTAATCCAAAGATTTAAACACATTTGAAGATAAATCTGAGTGTTTAAAGTTGATTTTGACCGCTCAGGCCAAGTCGCACCAAACACTTCTGATAGAGACTATGTTGAGAATGTAGAGTGAAAAAGGCTTCACTTTGAGCTCTGTGTTTTCTTTAACTACTGAAATATGAGACAATAAAGTGGTAAATAATTAGATATAATACTAGTCTTTAGATATAAATATAATAAGGTCGGTGAGAAGCATTCTAATCAAAGAACACACACAGTCAAGACTTTTCTACGAGACTCACGTATGTAGTCATAATCATCAGTTAATTACATTGTTGAAGGTGCATTTTTATTCAAACTCAATTAAATGAGCAAAACTATACGTTTGTGGACATTTGAGATCTGCCTAGATATGCACGTTTCGTTTTATTATTCTGTAATCCATTTTTAGTATTACCCGCTGGCCCGGCCCGGCCCGACTTTTAGGCATTCCCGACTTTTCGGTATGGACTCTCGGTATGTAGCTATAATTATCAGTTTATTACATTGCTGAAGATGCATTTTGATTCAAACTCAATCAAATGAGAAAAACTATACGTTTCTGGATATTTGTGATCTGCCTAGATATGCACGTTTCGTTTTATCATTCTGCAATCCACTGGCCCGGCCCGGCACGACTTTTCTTGGCCCGACATTTAGGCAATCCGGGTACAACAATAGCAGTTTAACTCAATATTGTCAATATGCTGAAACGCGTAGCTGTCGGAGCATGCAACACCCGGAAGATCATATCTCCTTGCTGTACACCTTGTGCCTTGTTATGAGGCTGTGTATTAGTCGACTTGAATCTAGCAGAGGATTGTGTAGCCCCGTCTGGGTAATCTAGGTCACACACACAGCTGTTTGTATTGTATACAGCGAGTATTTAGGCGTGCGTGGAAGGCGGATCTTTGTGTGACGATTGAATCTCATAAAACCCGAGGAGAAATGTGTTGTCTTACTTATGAACCAACATTTCTACTTTTACCCCCTGAATGCCACAGGGACATATGTCCCTCCTCTTCAACCCTCACTTTGAAGTGGAATAAAATTCAAAACACATTACGCACACAAATATACTTGACAATTCTCTTCCCTGTGATATCGTCCGTGGACATTTTAGGCAAGGCAAAATTACGAATAATTAAGTACATCGTAAATCCCGCCCTTTTTGTTATTTTGGGCGTGATAACTAAAATTATTGAAGCTCATGCAAAAATAAGTGAAGCGCACATGATACAATACAGGTCCTTGGCAAGAAGAGTTTAATTAAGCCCCTGGAGGTAACAGAGAAATTCATGACCCTCCTCGTCTACCCTTACTATGAAGTCGAATACAATTCAAAATATTTTACGCACACAAATACACTTCACAGCCGATACCATAAAACATTGTAAAGTCTCTGATCACCGTTTTGAATTCTGCGAGACATTTTCTGTTCTGTGATATCAACAGCTGACATTTTAAACAAAGCAATATTACAGAAAACAATCTCTGAAAATAAGGTACATTATAAAACTGATTTTGACATATTACTATATCACCTTTCACAGTGTAATTTACAGTGTGTTTTGAAATCTACATATCTTATATTTACTCGGAGAATTTCATTACAAAAATAGTCATCAGGTATCTGTAATGTATCAACTTACCAATGATTATTCTGAAACGTCGCCCATAACCCTAGAATCCATTATAATGTTTAAGACAATACGCAAAAAAGGATAGTGTTTACAAAATCACGTTTCACGTGTGCCGATTGACGCCTATTGCATCACATATACTTCAAACTCAGCTTTATACATATATCCTTGAATTCCTCATTCCTGCATCAAATGACAAATGGTCTTTGTAGCCAGTACAAACTGTCTATATGAGATTTAGCAAAATAGATTAGTTGTTAAAACGAACGCTGTGCTCGGAAAACTGTACTTGTAAACAAAGCAAAGTTCAGACGAAAGGAGCTATTTTCGTATCTTTTTTATGTATTCAAGACATTATTAACATGGTTAAAAACAGTCATTTTACGTTGTGTCGAAAAAAGGTCAAATTTTGTGTTCCAAATCAAGATTTTTCATAATGTGAACGAAATTAGATTAGAAATCTATCAATTTATATACCAATACCGTCTTTCTCTGACGTCGCCACAGACATTAAACAAGCTATGACGTCAAACAAAAATGTGAAATTTGTTTTAGCAAATCATTCCATTTGATGATATGTCTAGTACTCATTTAATAATGATGCAACATTAGTCAAATTACACAATCAGGTGAATGCGGGAATCAAAGGACTAAGGGCCATCCGTTTAGCTATTACTTCCTATTTTATGTAGAATGATGTTATCATTTCTTACGATTTGTGTTCATACTTACAAGTAAACGCCATCAATATCAATATTTGTGTTGGAATAGTGTGGTTCGAGGTGAAGAAAGAAAATACGAAATCATATTATCTTTACCCACAGCTAATTCTCACCAATTGAGCTGAGTTACAACGGTATAGTTCTTTCCTGTCTGTGCGTGTGTGTAACTCTCTAGCAATTGTCTTCATTTGTAGCAAGCTATCGTTCGGATCGAAAGTATAACGTTATACATCAATGTAGTTGTATCTAAGCATGGCATCATGAATTATCTCCCCTGAAATTGCACGTCAGTACATTAACAGTCCTACACACCCAATCCCTAGCTAGCGACAACGCTACAATAAGCATACACACGCCTTGGAGACGCAACTCTGCACAGAGAATTAACCCGTCTACAACGACTTGGCCAACCGTGTCCCCTCATTGATTTGAAAAGAAATGAAATAGAAGACAAAGAGTGTCTTTCTTGCCTTGAAAACAGGTTGGTTTATACAAACGACAATAATGATATATGAACTAACTTCTAAAGGAACGATCAAATAGTTGTCTTCATTTTGAGAAAAGCACCTCGTATTACCATTGATACTTTGGTTTTATAATCCCTGGAGTTTGACAAATTCACTTACTATATACATGGGCACCAAAAATAGAAAAGGGCGACAATGAGACATTATCAATACATCACATTGTCATGTTGTCCTGCATTTTAAAGCCTTCTGGCACAAATTTTAGATGGGGTGCATTATGAGATCGACCTTGGTAAATATGAAAAATCGAATAGAAACTGCAACAATACGACAGCTCGATAATGGGACAAATGGTCAAAATGACGCATTTCATTTTCATGCTTTGCTGAAATTTGGCCATTTTTGGACTTGTTTTGCAAGGGCGACAATGCGACAACGCAACAATATCCCATCTTGGATTCCATAGTTTAGTCATTCAATGTGAACATGCCACGAAGGTAGATATCAGAAACACAAAGAGGGCAAATAATTTGAATGTATTCCACAGGGTTGTCCTTCAAGACTATCTGGCGTCAATTGGGCTATAACTACACATTAATAAGCCGATTGATGAGGAAACATGGCCAAACCAATGCTTAGAAGGACCTTATGAGTAGCAGGAACGTCATTCTGGAGAGTCATCAAACGCTCCTTACTGGCAGATCGCCATCCAAGGTTTTTGTTTTAGCACAATGTCCTTTGAATCTGAGAACCCTGCGGAAATTCCATTTGTCAGACGGAAGCAGGTTCCTGCTCCACCATGTCACAGATGGACGATGAGGGGGGAGGGTGTCTTACACGAATGGCAACCTGAAAGATTATCAGCACATTGGAATTGAACATTTCGACAACCATCCACTAACCACAAGACCTAAGTTCATTGGTGGTAATTCCAGACGCCATAGATCCCGGGTTGTGACAGCCTACCTCCAGAACATTTTCCGTACCTTGCTCAGATCTAGAGCTTAGTCCACTGGAGTGCATCTGAGACATCCTTGTGGCCCGTAGACAGCAGGATGTGCGTGAATTGGAAGTAGCTTTGCATCGGGAGTGGCTCCAGTTGCAGGATGGAGGCCGCCACTATCATGAAGTTGACAATGTTGGTAGTTTCTTACTGTCAGAGCGTTGCTGTTGCAGGCCACATTAGTTTTGTGTGTGAATTCATTCCAGCAGTTGTTGCATTAGACATTGATACATTTCTGGGCGTCCTTAACTTTTGTCTAGGTGCATATCTTCACCGAATCATATGTTAAACCTATTTACAAAGATTCACACCCTCTTCCACCATCATTATACACTGGCGATATGTAACTATCAACAGTCCCTGGGTCATCAGTGACTACGTCAGTGGCAGGTAAGTGTAGGGTCGATTCTTCCACTGGCGATATGTAACTATCAACTGTCCCCGGGTCACCAGTGTCAACGTCAGTGGTAGGTAAGTGTAGGGTCGATTCTTCCACTGGCGATATGTAACTATCAACTGTCCCCGGGTCACCAGCGACTACGTCAGGGATCAGGTGGGTGTAGGATCGAGAAGTTGATGCTGCTGAGCTCTCTGATGACTCGTCATGATCGCTGTGTGCAAGGGCCGCAGCCGTGGGGAAGACCTCTGCTATGACAGGCATGGCGAGACCCAGCTCTTCGTCCAGGTTCTCTTGGTTCTCAGTTGGTTCACCAGTGTCCAAAGCCCCTTCGTCTATGTCATAGTATTTTGCCACGACTGGTACTCAACAACGTGGCAAGGCTCCTCATCCTCTATACGATTCTCCCTGCGATAACACAGAAAGACGAGAACGATTAATATCTTAGAGAAAATATTCACATCAACTACTCATGTACCTTTTAAACTGTTCCAGAACACATGGATATTTTACATTTGATGTAGAAGTTTTGTGAGAGCTTGATTCTCAACCCTCATCACGTTTGGAAGAATCAGAAGAAACCAGAACTACCTTTTCAGCTGACTGCATTCTGTACATGTGTACTGACCTTTCAACAGACCGGCCTTTGCGGTAGCATATGTAGTTTGTCATCAGGATAGCCAGGACAAAGAGCACACATGTTACTGGTATTCCTATACTGATACCATATGCTTTCAGAGTTCCTGTGGAGTACAGTGCGACAACATGATAACATACTGAACCCCTCTACAACAGTAAATGACAAGGTAATATTTGAAGAAACATTTAAAGATGTCGTAGTCCCTCTATTGAAATGGATAATGGTTGACTATATCTGAAAGTCACTTATCTTTACTGTTGTTATAAACACTAAGTTCTATATTATGTTAAGGACATGTTCAAGTGTTTAATCTTACTACTTTGTGAAACAATGGTGAGTAAGCAAATATAATTACACAATACAATGTTCAGATGATATATCCAACAGAATGACATTGAATATCAGCGTAAATCACCTTTTTAACAAAATACATATAAAATGTCAATGTTACCACGTTTACAATGATGCTAAACAATATTAAAGCAATAATCATCACAATGGTTATCAATTCTGTAGAACACAATTAAGATTATGTTTATATTTATGAACTTTACCTTTGGCACATGTTATTCCTCTCAAACAATAGTCTCTGGAACAGTTACTTGTACAGGTAGGTTCACATCCACTGTGACTGACGTTACATCCGTTGATACACGTGCCAGTCGCCTGATGACACATGTCATCACTACAAACATCACAGCTGTCATTACAAAACTCCCCATAAAATCCCACGATGCATCCGTCCACACAGCTCCCGGTGTAGGGGTTGCAGGAGTGATTGTAGCAGTGGTCGTGACAGGGTTCACAGTCTCTCCCGAAATATCCAGATCTGCATCTGTCCACACAAGCACCTGCATCGTCACACCTTCCTCCACTACAACCTGCACTGCATGGAGAGGAGCACCGTGGACCATACCAGCCTTCTACACAGCCATGGAGACACTCGCCAGTCTGGCTGTGACACTCAGAGGTACAAAGCACTTGAGGATTAGCAGAAGGGGCCAGACACCGCGAAGCATCAGTCATGTTGAGTGCAGGTCTACAGTTTCCCTTGCACACCTCGACACAGAAGTTGGCACTAACTACAAGCCCACACCCGTCCACACATCCAGTCTCACATGATCTGGTATAGGAACAGTTCAAACCATGAAATGGGGATTGACACTCTTTGCACGTGCCTGTGATCCTGTTGCAGGTCTTGCATCTGCTGGAGCAGTCCTTACATTCTGAACCATAATAGGAGTCCACACAGCCAGACACACAGGTGGAATTTAGCTGACAATATCCCTCTTCACACGTACTCGGACACTGGACGCAGGTGGCTTCCTCACGAGTACATGGTATCTTGCAGTCTATGTCATACACCCCAGGCACACAACCTTCAGTGCATCTCCCTATGCCTGTCCCCGTGGACTCACATTGACCATGACGACAGCCCTTACTGCAACTGGACCTGCATTTTAGGTCGAAGAATCCAGTGTAGCATTCAGTTTCGCAGTACCCCGTCGTCCTGTTGCAGTCAGAACACTGCTGACCTTCCCTGCATCCTGTTGCTGCAACAGTTTATAGGTCATGTGATTACTTACTTCGGTGTGAAAAATACAAGAAAATATATAATATAAATCGGGTTTTCACTTTTCTACTTTTAGCGTCGGCGGAGGAATTCAAAATACTATCATACACAACAACGAGGAATAGAAACAAGAGTCATCAGAAAGATGACATATCCCCCCGGCAGCTGTCTGTAAATTAACCACTAGTAAATGTGCAATTTTGTATGTAATGAGTCAACAGTTAAATGTTCTTTAAGAAGCATACATTGTTTACCCACTGAATGGTTTTCGAATTCTGGCCCGGAAACGAACCCGTTCCCCAATGGAGTCCCCATACAAATTGTAAAAAATAAAAATTCCTAAAAAAATAAACATCAAAAGGCACCACTTCGGTATGTGCCTGATAGCATTGCCAAGTTTCGATCAAATACACTGAATGGTTTTCGAATTCTGCCCTGAAACGAACCCCATCCCCAATTGAACTATGTCCAACTTCATTCCATAAAAATTGAAAAAAATAAAAATGAGGAAAATCCCAAAATATCAAAAGACACCACTTCAGTATGTGCCTGATAGATTTGCCAAGTTTCGATCAAATACACTGAATGGTTTTCGAATTCTGCCCCGGAAAAGGAAATGATTACGGACGGACAGACGGACAGACAGACAGACAGACTGGCTGATCGCTATATCCCCCCGCATTATATGCCGGGGGGATAAAAAGTAGACACCATGGCGTAACAAAGCGGGACGTTGAGGAGTGAGTGTGTGCGTGAGTATGGTTTCACGCTGCTTTTATGCTGCTGGGGACACCAGAAATGGGCGTGACGAGAGACCGCTTTAACCACTAGCCTACCCGACCAGCTACCCTTGGGACGCTGAGCAGAACATTTCGTACTTCCACAGATCAGGAGTTTAATGTGAGCGGGTGGAAATATCACTGACATTTCCAGGTCGGAGTCATCATTATTAAAATTTGGTAAATATTTTTAATCTTGTACACTTTATCAACATTCTTAAGAAAAGGTACATGATGGTGATATTTCAAAAGAAATAAAAGACTCATGGTTTATTCTCTTTGCAGTGTTTTATTGTACGATAAACTACAACCACTCGACTTTTTCATTTCTTATTTATTCAACAGCTTGTCTTTCATCAATACCTGAATGAACGTTGGCTAGGTTGGAAGAATATGAATCCAGAAAGGTCATCTTAAGAGATACATTTCGCCGACATTTCCGACGGGTTTGTGAAATTGAAGACCTTACGTCATTCCCCTGTATTTCCAAAAGAGCGTAGCTTGCATGAAGTCTTTACTTCAAGAACTGTTTGTGTTGATATGTTTTGATAACAGTACCTTGAGAACATACAGCTTAGCTAAAGTTATATATAAACTATAAAAGCAGGTCGAGAAATGAATGTACACAAATGTATTTGGTAAAACTATGGGAAATAAACTGTGTACACCCACGGCCATGTCACAGTAACGGGGAAGATATTGCTGTTGCAAAGAAAAGATACTATGACACAAGCGTACATGTAAAAATAATTTTTAAATAAATGAATGAATGTGTTACCTCGTGTTGAAAATACCATACACACAAGAATCGCCGAGATGAGGGTAGATTGTCTGGAAGAAATGAAGACAAAAAAGTAAATATTGCTAGTACATACGGGATGGTAACTGGTTTTATTCAGAATTGCTTTCATAAACTATTTACAGTCGACCACTTATACTTTTTCATATTTGTAATGTTACTGTCATAACATTGTATCCACACCAAGTTACACGAAAACCTTCGTTCGTTCGTTCGTTCGTTCGTGAGTCCTTCAGTCAGTCAGTTTTTCATACACAGTACCTTCATAAGTTAGTGGGAAAATTTCACAGTCCCTTCATGAGTGAGTGAGTGTGTGAGTGGAGTTTACATACACAGAACCTCCATGAGTGAGTGAGTGAAGTGAGTGGAGTTTACATACACAAAACCTTCACGAGTGAGTGAGTGTATGAGTGGAGTTTACATACACAGAACCTTCACGAGTGAGTGGGTGTGTGAGTGGAGTTTACATGTGCAGTTACTTCACGAGTGAGTGAGTGTGTGAGTGATGTGAGTGGAGTTTACATACACAGAACCTCCATGAGTGAGTGAGTGAAGTGAGTGGAGTTTACATACACAGAACCTCCATGAGTGAGTGAGTGAAGTGAGTGGAGTTTACATACACAGAACCTTCACGAGTGAGTGAGTGTGTGAGTGGAGTTTACATACACATAACCTTCACGAGTGAGTGGGTGTGTGAGTGGAGTTTACATGTGCAGTTACTTCATGGGTGAGTGTTTGGCTGTGGGGAGTACACGGTACCTTCGTGATACAGAGCCTTCATTAATAAGTGAGTGAGTGAGTGAGGAGAGTAAACATACACAGAACCTTCAGGATTGAGTGAGTGTGTGAGTGGAGTTTACATGTGCAGTTCCGTCACGAGTGAGTGAGTGAAGTGAGTAGAGTTTACATACACAGAACCTTCATGAGTGAGTGAGTGTGTGAATGGAGTTTACATACACAGAACCTCCATGAGTGAATGAGTGAAGTGAGTGGAGTTTACATACACAGAACCTTCATGAGTGAGTGAGTGAAGTGAGTGGAGTTTACATACACAGAACCTCCATGAGTGAGTGAGTGAAGTGAGTGGAGTTTACATACACAGAACCTTTATGAGTGAGTGAGTGAAGTGAGTGGAGTTTACATACACAGAACCTCCATGAGTGAGTGAGTGAAGTGAGTGGAGTTTACATACACAGAACCTTCATGAGTGAGTGAGTGAAGTGAGTGGAGTTTACATACACAGAACCTCCATGAGTGAGTGAGTGAAGTGAAAGGAGTTTACATACTCAGAACCTTCACGAGTGAGTGAGTGTATGAGTGGAGTTTACATACACAGAACCTTCACGAGTGAGTGAGTGTGTGAGTGGAGTTTACATGTGCAGTTACTTCATGGGTGAGTGAGTGTGTGAGTGGAGTTTACATGTGCAGTTACTTCATGGGTGAGTGTTTGGCTGTGGGGAGTACACGGTACCTTCGTGATACAGAACCTTCATTAATGAGTGAGTGAGTGAGGAGAGTAAACATACACAGAACCTTCAGGATTGAGTGAGTGTGTGAGTGGAGTTTACATGTGCAGTTCCGTCACGAGTGAGTGAGTGAAGTGAGTGGAGTTTACATACACAGAACCTTCATGAGTGAGTGAGTGTGTGAATGGAGTTTACATACACAGAACCTTCATGAGTGAGTGAGTGTTTGAGTGGAGTTTGCATACACAGAACCTTCACGAGTGAGTGAGTGAAGTGAGTGGAGTTTACATACACAGAACCTTCATGAGTGAGTGAGTGAAGTGAGTGGAGTTTACATACACAGAACCTCCATGAGTGAGTGAGTGAAGTGAGTGGAGTTTACATACACAGAACCTCCATGAGTGAGTGGGTGTGTGAGTGGAGTTTACATACACAGAACCTTCAAGATTGAGTGAGTGTGTGAGTGGAGTTTACATACACAGAACTTTCATGAGTGAGTGAGTGTGTGAGTGGAGTTTACATACACAGAACCTTCATGAGTGAGTGAGTGTGTGAGTGGAGTTTGCATACACAGAACCTTCACGAGTGAGTGAGTGAAGGGAGTGGAGTTTACATACACAGAACCTTCATGAGTGAGTGAGTGAAGTGAGTGGAGTTTACATACACAGAACCTCCATGAGTGAGTGAGTGAAGTGAGTGGAGTTTACATACACAGAACCTCCATAAGTGAGTGAGTGAAGTGGGAGGAGTTTACATACTCAGAACCTTCACGAGTGAGTGAGTGAAGTGAGTGGAGTTTACATACACAGAACCTTCACGAGTGAGTGAGTGTGTGAGTGGAGTTTACATACACATAACCTTCACGAGTGAGTGAGTGTGTGAGTGGAGTTTACATACACAGAACCTTCACGAGTGAGTGGGTGTGTGAGTGGAGTTTACATGTGCAGTTACTTCATGGGTGATTGAGTGTGTGAGTGGAGTTTACATGTGCAGTTACTTCATGGGTGAGTGTTTGGCTGTGGGGAGTACACGGTACCTTCGTGATACAGAACCTTCATTAATAAGTGAGTGAGTGAAGTGAGTGGAGTTTACATACACAGAACCTCCATGAGTGAGTGAGTGTGTGAGTGGAGTTTACATACACATAACCTTCACGAGTGAGTGAGTGTGTGAGTGGAGTTTACATACACAGAACCTTCACGAGTGAGTGGGTGTGTGAGTGGAGTTTACATGTGCAGTTACTTCATGGGTGATTGAGTGTGTGAGTGGAGTTTACATGTGCAGTTACTTCATGGGTGAGTGTTTGGCTGTGGGGAGTACACGGTACCTTCGTGATACAGAACCTTCATTAATGAGTGAGTGAGTGAGGAGAGTAAACATACACAGAACCTTCATGAGTGTGTGAGTGTGTGAATGGAGTTTACATGTGCAGTTCCGTCACGAGTGAGTGAGTGAAGTGAGTGGAGTTTACATACACAGAACCTCCATGAGTGAGTGAGTGAAGTGAGTGGAGTTTAGATACACAGAACCTCCATGAGTGAGTGAGTGAAGTGAGTGGAGTTTACTTACACATAACCTTCACGAGTGAGTGAGTGTATGAGTTGAGTTTACATACACAGAACCTTCACGAGTGAGTGGGTGTGTGAGTGGAGTTTACATGTGCAGTTACTTCATGGGTGAGTGAGTGAGTGAGTGGAGTTTACATGTGCAGTTACTTCATGGGTGAGTGTTTGGCTGTGGGGACTACAAAGTACCTTCGTGATACAGAACCTTCATTAATGAGTGAGTGAGTGAGGAGAGTTATCATACACAGAACCTTCACGAGTGAGTGAGTGTGTGAGTGGAGTTTACATGTGCAGTTACTTCATGGGTGAGTGAGTGTGTGAGTGGAGTTTACATGTGCAGTTACTTGATGGGTGAGTGAGTGAAGTGACTGGAGTTTACATACACAGAACTTCCATGAGTGAGTGAGTGAAGTGAGTGGAGTTTACATACACAGAACCTTCATGAGTGAGTGAGTGAAGTGAGTGGAGTTTACATACACAGAACCTCCATGAGTGAGTGAGTGAAGTGAGTGGAGTTTACATACTCAGAACCTTCATGAGTGAGTGAGTGAAGTGAGTGGAGTTTACATACACAGAACCTTCACGAGTGAGTGAGTGTGTGAGTGGAGTTTACATACACAGAACCTTCACGAGTGAGTGAGTGTGTGAGTGGAGTTTACATGTGCAGTTACTTCATGGGTGAGTGAGTGTGTGAGTGGAGTTTACATGTGGAGTTACTTCATGGTATGAGTGTTTGGCTGTGGGGAGTACACGGTACCTTCGTGATACAGAACCTTCATTAATGAGTGAGTGAGTGAGGAGAGTAAACATACACAGAACCTTCAGGATTGAGTGAGTGTGTGATTGGAGTTTACATGTGCAGTTCCGTCACGAGTGAGTGAGTGAAGTGAGTGGAATTTACATACACAGAACCTTCATGAGTGAGTGAGTGTGTGAATGGAGTTTACATACACAGAACCTTCATGAGTGAGTGAGTGTATGAGTGGAGTTTGCATACACAGAACCTTCACGAGTGAGTGAGTGAAGGGAGTGGAGTTTACATACACAGAACCTTCATGAGTGAGTGAGTGAAGTGAGTGGAGTTTACATACACAGAACCTCCATGAGTGAGTGAGTGAAGTGAGTGGAGTTTACATACACAGAACCTCCATGAGTGAGTGAGTGAAGTGAGTGGAGTTTACATACACAGAACCTCCATGAGTGAGTGAGTGTATGAGTGGAGTTTACATACTCAGAACCTTCACGAGTGAGTGGGTGTGTGAGTGGAGTTTACATACACAGAACCTTCACGAGTGAGTGAGTGAAGTGAGTGGAGTTTACATACACAGAACCTCCATGAGTGAGTGAGTGAAGTGAGTGGAGTTTACATACACAGAACCTCCATGAGTGAGTGAGTGTATGAGTGGAGTTTACATACACAGAACCTTCACGAGTGAGTGGGTGTGTGAGTGGAGTTTACATGTGCAGTTACTTCATGGGTGAGTGAGTGTGTGAGTGGAGTTTACATGTGCAGTTACTTCATGGGTGAGTGTTTGGCTGTGGGGAGTACACGGTACCTTCGTGATACAGAACCTTCATTAATGAGTGAGTGAGTGAGGAGAGTAAACATACACAGAACCTTCATGAGTGAGTGAGTGTGTGAGTGGAGTTTACATGTGCAGTTACGTCACGAGTGAGTGAGTGAAGTGAGTGGAGTTTACATACACAGAACCTCCATGAGTGAGTGAGTGAAGTGAGTGGAGTTTACATACACAGAACCTCCATGAGTGAGTGAGTGAAGTGAGTGGAGTTTACATTCACATAACCTTCACGAGTGAGTGAGTGTATGAGTTGAGTTTACATACACAGAACCTTCACGAGTGAGTGGGTGTGTGAGTGGAGTTTACATGTGGAGTTACTTCATGGGTGAGTGAGTGTGTGAGTGGAGTGTACATGTGCAGTTACTTCATGGGTGAGTGTTTGGCTGTGGGGAGTACACGGTACCTTCGTGATACAGAACCT